AAATTAAAGAGCGAGGAGGAGGGAGTATGACAAGTAAACAAAGGTGGGGTGTGGAAGGGAGCCCAGTTAAGGCCGCAGTTAACGTTGGCCTTGTCAGGGATTCGTACTTCGCCTGGGTCCAACCTTCTCAGGAAGGATTGGGACTCATCCTATTAATTATAGACACAGATGGGGGTGTTGAGCACAGGCATTAAAGCATAATCTAAATCCTTTGAGGGTCACAGGGTTGTGGCCTTCCAGACAGGGAAAAGGGGCGTGTTGGAAAGACCAGTCCTGTCTGGGTGCGGGTTCGAGTCCACGTGGAGCTAAGAGGAGGGGGGGCTGTGGCTAGCCAAGAGGAGTGGGGGGGAGGGGCGGATACTAAGCGTTACGGCGCACGATTGGCTAGCTTGCCCGCAGGAGGCGGGGCCTGCATATGGGGGGGGGGGCAGCCGGGCCCCGGAGATCTGTCGGGGACCTGGGGTAGGGTCTAGCTTGGGACAGATTCTGTAAAAGAGAAAGGATTCAGGTAAAGATGCGAGCCTGGGGAGGAGTCTTCCCAGGGCTTGGGCCAGCCTGGGGTGGGGAAACCAAGTCCCTGCACTGTTGTTCCTCCGCAGCTGGCTGAGAGGTTTTCGGATGCGGCTCTGGTATCCATGTCGGTGCGGGAGCTAAACCGGCAGCTGCGGGGCTGCGGGCGCGACGAGGCGCTGCGGCTGAAGCAGAGGCGCCGCACGCTGAAGAACCGCGGATACGCGCAGGCCTGTCGCTCCAAGCGGCTGCAGCAGCGGCGCGGGCTGGAGGCCGAGCGCGCCCGTCTGGCCGCGCAGCTGGACGCCCTGAGGGCCGAGGTGGCCCGCCTGGCTCGGGAGCGGGACCTCTACAAGGCCCGCTGTGATCGGCTGACCTCGAGCGGCGCGGGGTCCGGGGACCACACCCACTTCTTTCTCTGAGCCCCTGGGAGAGGGGGTGTGGGGTACGGTAGTGGCTGCGTGGGTTGGCACCATGTGGGAGGGGGGACACGGTACCCATCACTCCCGGGAAACCTTTAGATCTCGTTTCATTCCCTGTAAGACTACATAAATATTCCTAAACTTCTGGATCCTCGTGGCAAGCCCAGGTTAGATGCTGGTCATTGTTCTGGGAGCTGAGTCCCCCTCCTTGCAGGTTGTGAACGCACCAGGCTCTGCAGAGGACGGAGTCAGACCTGAGAGGGGAGAGACTGTAGGATGGACAGCTGCACAGTGACTGGAGGAAAGGAGTGGGGCCTGGCCCCCACCCCGTTTGGTTATTATTATATTTTTTATTTTTGCCGAGCCTGGAGCTTGAACTCTGGACCTGGGTGCTATCCCAGAGCTCCTTTTTGCCCAAGGCTAGCACTCTACTACTTGAGCCACAGCACCATTTCTGGCTCTTTCTTTGATTAATTGGAGACAATGGTCTCATGAACCTTCCCTCCTCCCTTTCAAACAGCCATCCTCAGATCTCACCTTCTGAGTAACTAGGATTACAGGCGGTAATTCAAGGTTTTCGACCTGTAGTGCATTAAGGCTGTAATGAGGCTGCATTTTCACTGAAAGTTTTATAACTTTTCCATTTTAAAATGACTGCGTTTTCGAGATTTTAATTCCCAATAACAACCAGACTAGGAACTCTGCCTAAAATGTTTTTCTCTGTCAAACCTAGGGGCCTTCAGGGCCCAGAGCAGCTCAGGGCAGAGGAATGAGCTCCAGGGTGGCAGTTAGTATTTGTTGGGAGAGAGCCCTAGGCAGGAGCCTGGAGACCTGGGCACTAGTCCCAGCTCTGTCACAGGATCCCTCTGTCACCTTGAGCAAATCAATTGCTCCCCTGGGCCTCAGTTACTTTATCTAATCCCCATTCGGATTGGATGACTTCTGACACCTTTTCAATTCTGGCATCCTCCCTCTCCTCCCCCTTCCATCCCCCCCCAGTGAGCAAGTCCCAATGGTCTCCCCAAGAGGACCCAAGATGACCTCACTAAAGGGACAACCTGTCCTCCAGCTTCCTGGCCAGAATCTAGGCAGTGGAAGAGCCTCCCAGTTGGGGAAGGAAGCATGGTTTCTCTGGAAACTCTCACTCAGATTTATCCTCTGCTGCTTGCTCCTTTCAGGCTGCCTAGGCCTTCAAATCTGCAGAGGGGCTTCCTGCTACCTCTTGCTTCTCAGGGCAGAGAAGAGACTTCTCCAGATGAGGAGCTGAGTGGAGCTTTTGTGAATTAAACTTGAAGTCTAGACAGAACTCTAATACTATTGGCTAAATGTTCTTGCAATTTAAGAAGTGTTCATTTTCTAGCACAGCTTCAGACTACTGTTTGTGTGTGTGTGTGTGTGTGTGTGTGTGTGTGTATGTGTGTGTGAGTTGTGGGAGAAGGAGAGAGAGAGAGAGAGAGAGAGAGTCCCTATGTGAAGCTGAGCATTTCTGGAGAGCCAATAAAAATGGGATGGAGGTGGGATTGGTCCAGATGGAGTCTCGTTCTCCTCCTCCCACCACCACAAAAGCCCAGGAACAGCAGTGGCCTGACTAGGCTTATCTGTGGCTATCCTGGAGGTCTCACTGTTGCTATGGCAACTCAATCTTCCAGTTCAGCAACATAAGGGAAGGGCGGATGGGGCCTCTGGGTAGAGTAGAGGTGTTGAGCTGGGAGAGAAAACCTCATCAGCTACTATGCCTGTCCTCTTAGGGACATAATAAATGGGAGAAGCAGTTGGGTGTGGGGGAAGTGCTCCCATATGTCTCTCTTCCTTTCTGCCCTCTCTATCCGCCCCCCTGACCAGCTGTCTCTTCTTTTCCCATCACAATTCTTGTTCCCTCCTCCCCCTTCTCTAGCTCAGCTTATGCTTCCTCCACTCAGAGTCCTCTTTATCCCCCTCAGACTTTCTCTCATTTCTTCATTTCCCACCTTCAGCCAATGGCCATCCTCCCGGGTTCTGGATTCTATCTATGAGGACTCGTATGTGTGTGTGTGCGTGACACACAAACACATGCCAGGGGCTTGTGCTCTTGACTTTTTCATTCAAGGCTGGCACTCTACTAATTGAGTCACAGTTCCACTTCTGTTTTTTTTTTTTTTCTGGTTAAATGGAAATAAGGGTCTCACAGATTTTTCTGCCCAGGTTGGCTTCGAACCATAATCCTCAGATCTCAGCTTCCTGAGTGGCTAGGATTATGAATGGTGGGACTGGGGCAGAGAGGATATCTCCAATAATTCAGCCCATCTTTCCTTACTCAGTGGGCTATTTTATTTTTATTTATTGCTACATAGCCCAGGCTGCCCTTGAACTCAAGATCTTCCTGCCTACACATTCTAAGTGCTAGGATCACAGGTGTGCACACCACATCCTTCCCTTACTCTGAATTTCACCTGTGTCCTCACTTGCTCTATGGATCTGCAATCTAGATTCGTCACCTCTTTTACACTTTTTTTTTTTTTTTTTACATTTTCTTTTCTTGGGCAGGGGGCAGGAGCAGTATTGAGATTTGAACTCAGGCCTCATGCTGCCATCTAGGCATTCTAACTGCAGAGCCATTCATCCAGCCTTCATACTCACATTTCTTACATGCATAGCACACAAGGGCAAAGGTGCCAATTCACCTATGCATGTGGACACAAGTAGGCCATATATCTATATATATCTTTAGATTTGCGTCTCAAGATGATACCTAAGGGGTATCACAGCTTGCCCTCAAACAAAAGTTGCCCACTGTAGTGATGAAGAATGTGAGCTCTTTAGCCACACTCTCTGAGCTTGGGTTCAACTTCTTATTCAACTAGCTCTTTATTGACTAGGGGTGCTTTAAAAATCAAGCCTTATTGCTTTGTCAGAAAAATGGAGAGAATATGAAAGTGGAGGTATGGTTCAAGTGGTAAAATGCCAGAGGTGAGTAAGAAAAATGGAGAAATGGTGCTCCCATTTACTATTATAATGTATGCACCTAAAGAAATACAGGTGGATAGTAAAGAATCATTTTGCTGGAGTTTTTGAAACACTGAAACCATGCTCATGAAGAACCAAGGGTGTGTGGCACACTAATATCAGGAATGTCAGGCCTTTTATCCTTAAATGTCCCCTCTGGAATTGGATGTCAGGGGCTCACACCTGTAATCTTGCTACTTGGAGGCTAAGATTTGAGAATCACAGTTCGTAGCCAGCTCAGACAGGAAGGTCTCTGAGACTCATTTCCAATTAGTCAGCAGAAAGCAGGAAGTGGAGCTATGCCTCAAGTGGTAGAGTGTTAGCCTTGAGTAAAAAAAAAAAACTAAGAGATAAGAGTCCAGGACCCCAAGACCAGCATTAAAAGGAAAAAATAAATGCTTCTTCTATGCTTGTAACCCATTAGAAGACCTGCTTCCTACTTTCAGTGCTCCCCCAGTGTCTTAGTCTGCCCCACAGCTGTGTGGGGGCTGGGGTTCAGCCCCTTGGAGACTCAGCAGGGCCTCTCTGGAGATAGTTATAATATAGTATCAGACTGCCCTCTTGACAGCCCCTTATTACCTTCCCCAATCTCCTCTGCAATTAACCCCCATGTTGTCTAGACCCCCTGGGCTTGGGAGGTGAGGGTGGGGGCCCTTTACAGCCTACTGGCTCATATTAGGGTAGGACTATAGAGACAGTGGCCTTTTCCTGCAGTGTATGTGAGAGCTGTATGGGCTGTCCAATGAGCACCTGAGGAATGAATAGAGGCTCAAGGGCTAGGTTGGTTTCCTTTATTAAAGGCCAGAAAGTCGAGGTTACTGAAGGAAGTCACTGAAGGGGGCCACAAAGTCTAGGGCTTAGAGAGCTAGGGGCAGGGCCCACCACTCATTTCCGGGACCCAGGGGACACAGCTGATCCAAGAGGCAGAGGCACTGGTCACTCAAGTCACAAGGGTCAGGACAGGCACCTGGGAGGGGGTGGGATAGTTAGAAGCATCCTCTCCACTACACCCCACCAAGATGGGCTCCTTGAAAGTTTTACTTTGTACCCCTTTTTGTGCCCATCCTTTTGAGTCCCCCAAGACTTACTGAGAGGCTGAGGGAGTGTCGTTTGGTGAGAGGAAGTCAGGGGCTAGGGCTGGGGGTTGTAGTGGGTGTGCAGGGTCTCGGAGCCCCTGGGCTGATGCCCTGGCTGGCGTAGTATTCCACCACCTGCCGGGGCACCTCAGCCAGGACACACTTAGCCAGCGCAGAGGGCGCTGCCTGGGGAAAGGGAGGAGACATGTGGTTAGGGGAGGGGAAGGGGCTGGATTTTGGGGGTGATCTGCATTTTTCCCCAGGTGAAAGATAATGGTTCTGATTCCGAGGCTGGAGGAGCTGGGGAGTCTTTTGGCCAGGAGAGGGCACCAAGTACTCACATCCTTGAAATCTCGGAAGGGCACGAACTGGACGATATCGCGGGCTGCGGGCACCCCTCGGGGGCAACGCAGGGGACCATCGTCGCCATCCAGTAGCCGCATGTCGGAGAAGTCGGCATTGCCCACACCAACGATAATGATGGACATGGGCAGGCGGGAGGCGCGCACGATGGCGGTGCGCGTCTCAGCCATGTCGCTCACCACTCCATCCGTGAGCACGAGCAGCACAGAATACTTCTGAGATGGGGGCAGAGAGAAGGGTCGTCTCCGTGTGTATAGGGCAAGCCCAGGTCCTCACCCTGGAACCACCCTAGGACACAGGCAGCCCCTGCCTGTTGGTTTTGCCTTCTCACCGTGGCTTGGCCGGTGCTCTGCTCCCGCTGGGCTGGCTCTGCCACACGATTGATGATGGGAGCCACATTGGTGGGGCCATAGAGCTGGATCTGGGGTAAGCAGCGTCGATAGGAGGCGATGACCCCGGCGATCTCTGTAGGAAGGCAGAGAGAAGAGGTGAAGCTGGCCGGGTTGAGGAAGGAGCCATTCCTGATACTCCCTTAAGACAGGGTGGGGCGTCTGGCTTAGAACTGTCAGCCTCTTCAGCTGGATGGTCATTCAGGCAAAGGCTGGAAGTCTTACCAGCCTCCTGATCAATGTGGATGGGTGGAAAGGACAGGGAGCTGGGCTCACAGGAATGAGCCCATGCCAAAGATGTGTGCAGCAAGCTGTGTGGCATGGGGAAGCCAGGCTGGTGGAACTCTCCCAGCTTACCTTCACATTCAGGATTTTCTGGGTCAAAGTTGATAGCAAAGTCGTGGGACACCTGTGAGGGTAACGGGAAGGCAATGAGAGGATGACTGTCCTTCCTGTCTGATCCTCATCATCTTCTCCCTTCCTGTGCACCCAGCCTACCTCAAAGTTGGGAGGGATTCGAGCGCCAAAGCCAAAAGCCGGGAACCGCTTATCACTGCAGAGAAGAAAAGGCGGTGGGACTCATTGGGCAAGCCTCCCTTTCTGACCCTCCTCTGCCTCCCACTGACCTGTCATAATCCTGGCAGATGCCTCCCACAGTGCGTAGGGCCTGCAGGTAGTGGTTGGGCTGGCGGGGACTGAGACAATGTAGGGACTGGCTGCTCCTTGGGTCCCCATTGGAGGCAGTGAAATCAATGGCCACCTGTAGGGGTGAGGATGGGGAAAGGGTCATGTGGTAGCAATGAATGCCAACAACAGAGAGCCTAGGTTAGGGTCTGAAGGGAGGACTGAGATGAATCTGGGTGAGCCCATAAGCAGTCTCATTAGGGGCAAGGTATACATTACATGAGGATAGTGCTAAGGTTCATGCAAAGCCCAGATCAGGCAAATAAGTTTTTGAGTTCCTTCAGTTTGCCACAGATTTAGCCTGTCTCTCTTGATATGTCCCCATATTCTGAGTCTTTACCGTGAAGCTGATCTGGCAACCACCCATGATGTAGTCCAAGAAGGTGTGCACTTTCTCCACCTAGTGTGAAAGTGGGAGATGAGATGGTGGTATCAGGAGGGAGCTTGGGAAGGACTTCTTTGGGGAAGGGGAGGTGTCCGAGTTCTTGAAATTGTGGTTTGAGATGGGATAGAGAAAAAAGTTCCCAGTTTCTGGGAGCAGAGAAAGGAACTGACCTTGAAGCAAGGGAAGGCTGGGATCTGAGATTGTGGTAGGGACAGGAGCAGATGCAGGGGAAGGGTGGAGTGGAGACAAGAACTTGGATTTACCGTGCATTGGGCCAGCACCACTGTCCCTGAGCTCTTGTAATTCTTCTTTTTGTCCCGATACTTGGGGTTGATACAATCCCACTGCATCTAGACCCCACCCACCCCACAAATGCAGAGTCACAAGTCGGTCGGTCAGGTGACCTCTTCCCCCTTCCAGCAAAACCTCCCAGGATAAGATTCATGACCCCATCCATCCTTCAGCCAAGCCTGGGAATTGACACCTCCCCAGCTCCTGTCACCCACAGTGATCTCTCCAGCAGCACCTTCAGGATTTTCCCAGGGTTATGGGTAGGATTCTAGGGGTAGAGTGGGGTCTCTGTGGCACCTCCTGTCCAGGGTTTGCTGTCCCTTCTTGCATCTCCTGGAAAGTGCTGGTGAACTCGCCAATGAAGTCATGTTTCCCACTGGAGTCATAGTCGTATACCAGGAACTGGGAAAGGAGGAGAGGGGTGGTACAAGTTGAGGATGCTCTGCAGTGGGTGGTGACTTAAGATGGTAGGGCCATGAAGTTTCTAGGCCCAGACAGGGCTCCTTAATGTGCCTTGGAAGGCCACCTGCTGAGCTCAGCTGGCAGGGATGTTGGTCTCTGCTAAAAGGCACACGTGTGGGAAGCTTAACACTTAGCTGTGAACTGTTATTTATCCCACAGGGAGAAGTGCTTATTACAGGGGGTGAGGGAGGAGGCACGCCACACTGTGCACACCCAGCAGGAAGGGGGACTGGTTCTGCTGCCATTACCTTGAGGGGCCGGTGGACATCACAGCTGCACAGCGAGTGCAGAGACAGGCGGAATGGCTCCCAGATGGGGTTCAGGTTGTTTTTCACCACCTTGGAGAGGGACCAGGAAATGGGTCACCTTTTGTTTAGGTTTCCCTACTCTGTTCTTCCTACTTCTATCCTCTTGCCCCAGGTACTGACCTCAGTCCTCCAGACCAGCTGGTCACTCTGGTCTCCATTGGTCTTATAGATCTCCATGAAAGGGTCTGACTTGCTGAACAGATCCTGGCAAGGCAGAGAAAGGGCCCATGAGTCCGGTGTAGTCTCTAAGGGGGAAGGGGGCTAATATTGAGAAAGAGCAGGTCTGGACCTCTGGGATCTGTCTCCAATTGGAGGCCTATGGCTCTCTATCAAGGGATATGAAGGCCTGGATTCAGGGGTTCCAACCTTGTTGTCCAGTTTGTGGGCTCTGAAGGTAAGTTGAACATAGTCATTGGTACCAGATACCTCCTCAGCTACGATCTGCAAAGGGAACATAAGTGGTACTACTTTCCCTCTCCCCACCACAAGGGCCACCCTACCCTATTCAAATAGGTAGAAGGGTCCTAGGCAAGAGATCCCCTACATGGATTCCAATGTAGGAGTACTGAATGCCTGGCCCAAAGGTGAGCCCATGACCTTTCCTACCGTGATAGTAGACTTGCCCGCAGTCTTCCCATTCTTCAGTAGCAATGGCTTAGTAACCTTGGTTTGTGATACAATCTGGGGACAGAGATAGAGGGAGACCCAGCTGTAATGCTTCCACCTGGCTTGGCAAGGTTCAAGAAGAAATACTGAGTGTACATAGCATTGGCCCAGGCTAGGATTACACTCAATTCCTTCCTTCCTTCCTTCCTTCCTTCCTTCCTTCCTTCTTTCCTTCTTTCTTTCTTTCTTTCTTTCTTTCTTTCTTTCTTTCTTTCTTTCTTTCTTTCTTTCTTTCTTTCTTTCTTTCTTTTCTTCTCTCTCTCTTTCCTTCCTTCCTTTCTTTCTCTTTCTTTCTTTCTTTCTTTCTTTCTTTCTTTCTTTCTTTCTTTCTTTCTTTCTTTCTTTCTTTCTTTCTTTCTTTCTTTCTTTGTTCTTTCATTTTTGGCTGACCATGGGTCTTTGACTCAGGGCCTAGGTACTTTCCCTGAGCTTTTTTACTCAAGGCTAGCACTCTACCACTTGGACCCATAGCGCCACTTCTGGTTTTCTGGTGGTTAATTGGAGATAAGAGTCTCATGGACCTTGCTGCCTGGGCTGGCTTCAAACTGTGACCCTCAGATTTCAGCTTCCTGAGTAGCTAAGATTACAAGTGTGAGCCACTGGCGCCTGGCTACACTCAATTTCTATAGCAGCTTTAAGAAAGAAGTACAGAGAAGGGGTAGAAGTGTAGTTCAGGAGGTGTAGCAGTGGTTGTTTAGCAGAACCAGGCACATTGCGTCCACTGTATTTTAGATGGAAAAACTAAGAGTCAAAGAAATTAAGTATTGTACTCAAGGCTGCCTAGACTGAGCATAGTTAAAATAGGACCTGGGCTCAGAATGATCTAGTTTTAGGGTCGTGCTCTCTCTTATTTTGGCTTCCATAGGCAGAAGCTAATGAGGATGGGGTAGGATGGAGGGAGGGGAATGCAGACCTGGCCCAAGGTGCACTCTACAGAACCGAGGAAGGTGTCATTGCTGGGGCTTGTGGCTCCATCCTCAGCATCAAACACGTGGAATTGCAGGGGTTGTTTTTCTTCAAAAAAGTACTCAAGGGCCAGTACCCGGGAGAAGACGGGGTTAGAACAAGAGCGAAGCACCTCCGTGTGCTCTACCTGCAACAGGCGGGGGTGGGGATGGGGGGGGAGGGGGAAAGAGCCTTTTGGAAAAGGATGCTATTTTCCCCAGCCCTGCCCTCTGCTACCCAATTCCAATTCATGCCAGCTCTCTTGGGCCCCCCCCACCCCCACCCTCCATAACCACCTCTTCTAAATCTCATCCTGAACTCAGGATAGTATGGTCCACTGGGCCCTCAAACCTCTAGAGCTTTTGTCAGGGATTTGGGATCTATCCTATTGCCTCTGGGGCAGGACCCTTTGAGACTCTGAGCTTTCAACTGTAAAATGGTTTAGGTTTGGAATGACGATATGCTCGTTTCCAAGGTTACCCACATGGCCTAGAAAAGGTACCCTGGAATTCTCACATTCCCTTGTGAGGCTCTCATTGCCCCCGCCGCATCCTCCTGCCTTTCCAGGTTTAAGCCAGGTTAGTGAAGGACCCTCCCCCCCCAATCCCAACCAGGTGTTCTCACCTCCACCCACTGCTCATCTGAGTAGAGCTTGAGCAGCACACAGGGGTGGGGCTTGGTGAGTGTATCTCGGTCCAAGAGGCCATGGCAGGATACCCGAAGCTCTACCCGAGAGGCCCCCAGTGTCATGGCTGGGGGCTCAGGTACCCATCCCATCTCAGGATCTGACATATTCCTATGGGGACAGAGCAGATGATCTTGTCACTTGGAAAGAGGAGGGGGGGGGTCTGTGCTCTGGGAGCCCTGGGCTCCATTCTCTTGCCTTCCTTCCTGAGTTGCTTGGATGTTCTGCTACTCTGTCTTTTGCTTGGCATCTCCAGAGCTCAGAGCATGGGAGGGCAGAGGATCAGAGCCTTGAGCAGAAGCTCTATGCTTCCCCCTCCCCCCTCCAGCCAGCCTGGGTGTACAGTGATGGGGCTGTAAAGGACTGGAAGATTGGGGTTGAGGGGTTCCTGGCAGTCTGGGTTCCTGGCCATCCATCTATCGATCCATGCTTTCTGCTGTCTCAGCACCTTGTACAATTTCCAGGCTGGTGTTGGAGCCAGTGCTGCACTCAGTCTTGGCATGAGGGATCTGAACTGGGGCAAAGGGGTGGGGCAGGGGGTGGAGAGGCCCCTGGAGGTCTGAAGAGAATGGGCTACAGGAATGAGTCTACAGTATGCAGGAAGAGATAGGTTAGACCACTGGACTATCCATCCCCTCCTTCCTTTCTCTCACCCTCTGGCTGGCCGATGGGAAAGAAGGGGGTGGGCTTCAGGAGTTAGAATCAGGACCAAGGTTTGCTGAAAGCTCCTGCAGGCACCTGGCAGGGGCTCCCATGGTAATAAGCCTGCCTCCATCCCCACCTCCCTTGTTCTCACACTTCTTGGCAACACTGGCACTGTCTCTTAGCGACAGGGTTTTGGGGGATCCACAGCCCCCTCCATGCTGCCTGTGGGATGCATTCCCACCACCCTCCCCCAGCAGTGGTACCAACAAGCCTCGGGCAGAAGCAGACAGGGGTACGCTGGCCCGAGTGCATGGCTGCTCAGTCCATCTATCTCTGTCTGTCCAGATCTTAGGGTGAGGCACTTTGGTCCCATGCCCTGCTTCCCAGACCAAGTGTGCGTTGGTGTGTCTGAGTGCTCCACCCTCTGTCTGTCTCCCTTTGTCCTGTGTCCATCTCTGAGAGGGTGTGACAGTTCATCAGAATTGAGACCCCCATCCTTTGCTGGATACCCATAATGTGTGTCTTTCTGGATATGTGAGGGAGGGTCTGGGTTGAAGCTGTCTTCTATTTAGCTACAAGTCTCTCCCAGTTTTTGTGGGTTCCCTAAGGTAGGCAAAGGCATGTGTTGGTGAGGAGGTGGGGCAGGGCTAGATCTCCCGGGGGTTAGAAAAGAGATGTTGTTATGGAGATTGGACTAAGCTGGGCAGAGCCTGGGCTCTACTAGGAAGGGTAGACTCACCTGGGCTTAGTTGGAGGGCTCCTTTCCCCGATGCTCGGCCCTGGCCCTGACTCCTTTGCTGCTCCAGCCGCTGGCGCCGGCTCCGGCTCCGGCTCTGCTGCTATTTATGGGGCCTGGATGGGGAGGGGGGGGCTGCAGCACCAGCTCCCCCCGCACAGACTGGTTGGGAGGGAGAAGAGGGGAGGGGCAGGGCCACTGCCTGGGAGGGAACCACAGAACTGGAGGAGGAGGGCGGGCTGGGGGGGGGGCTGGCTCCAAGGCAGGACCCCCACAGACACAGTGACACACATCTTCCCCTTCATACCACACCCACAGCCAGCATCACAGAGAGGCACACATTGCGGTGGTGCATGCACACACATCCAGAAATGATGGCGACACATGCACCCACGACTCACAGGCTCACACATATCTTGACACACATAGGCACCAGTACGCAAACTTACAGTGATACCATAACAGTTACACCGATACACTGGCAAACACACTCAGGCTCACAGCAAGTGCAATATGACTATTACACTTGTGAAGCACATTTACAGCCACAAATAAAAGAACTTCGGGGCTGTCCTCATCACACACATATATATACACTCACCCTCACCAACCTTGGCTACAGCAGAAGTTGATTTTCATGTGCTTTTTAAAAAATCATCATGTACCACGCTGAACCTCTTGGCTTTGGGAATGACGTACAGTTTCCTAGTCACCTTCTTTACAAGGAGATACAGGAAATGCAGACAATTGCTTTGGCTACACAGGCTCACATTCTGATCACACAGCCAGAGATTAGGGCTGCATGGTGGGGGCATGTGCTGAAACTGATTGCCAAGGCATCTTCCTAAGGCCACAATGTACCCAACCCCGCCTCCCCTAGAGTTTCGACCCATATGGTCACATCCTGGTGGGAGGGGCTGTGCCACGCACAGATCTTAAGGAAACAGACATTAGTCATTCCTGATGAGACTAGGGGAGGTGAGCAATTGCCTGTAAGCCACACGTGAAGATATCTGGGCACCTAGTGATCTGGGATGAGTACACAGGAACATTCACAGGGACATCTTCATTCTCCATGTCATAAGTCACTCATTTATAAAGTAGCAGTAATTTCTTAACCATCTCTTACATACCAGGCATTAGGCCAAGGGCTAGGCAGATGATTAATATACAGTCTCTGTCCCTGGGGGAGGCAGGTGTAGATGAAACAGAGAGACTCACACACAGATATATAAGCCAGTACAAAATGGAGCTAAGTATGACAAATGCAAAGTTATGGACCTGCTTAAGGCCCAGTGTATGTGGGGGGCACAAGGAGATGAGTGGGGAAGGCATCGGGAAAGGTCTCTCCAAAGGAAGAGCCCTGATCAGAGTTTGAAAGTCAAGTTAGAATTTGTTAAGATACAAAAGGAAATGATTAATTTAACCACTGATCTTCCCAAGCTAGAGTACTGTATACCTATAAACCACTCTACTGCCGAGATTTTAAAAAAACATTAATAGTATCCATGGGATGATACAACATATAATATCATTGGTGAGCATGTGCTTAAATATGCTGCTCCCCAGCTCCCTAACCCATATACTAGTCTTCCAATCCCATCACTTTACCGCAAGCTGGACACACACTGTGTTGATTTCGGTCACTTCTGCCCCTTGTATAGCCTTAACCCTGCATATAACCTTCAAGGGGACCTCTTGGTCCCCTTCTGTCAGCAGTTCTTTGGTCTTCCTTCTTCCCATCTTGGAGCCCCCTCCCTATCTCTGGGGTGTGTTCCTAGGTGTATCCCCACTGTGGTCAAGCCCTAGATGCCTAGGATGGGAACAGATGTAGGTGAGCTGGTGGCAGTGTTTGTGGAAGACAGCAGAGACTTGAGGCAGACAGTGATTTTGTTCTTTTATTCTATACAAATGGGGAGAGAGCCCCTGGGCATAGAGGGCCAAAGATCCACCCTCCTAGGGGAGGCATCAGGCCTCAGCCCTGACGCTGTCTGCAGAGCACAGCATAGAGACAGGCATTGAGAGTCTTCTCTTCCCAGGTTGCTCCTTCCCTTTCAGTCCTCCATCCTGCTCCTCTGTGCCTAGTCCTGCCATGCTGCCTTGTAGGGCAGGGGCTGGCTGGGGGTTAGGGGAGCAGGGGTGGATGGGGGTCTGACTCCTTGTGAGGCACATGTCGCAAAAGGCTGGGGAGGGTATTCTGTAGCATCAGTCTGTTCCTGGCTCACTGGTTCCTGCTGGAGACAAGTCCAGAGAACCCTGTTTCCTGGGCAGGGAGAGCCAGCCACCCACCCAGAGTTGGGGTTACAGGGGCACCATGATGTATAGGTCAGTGGGAAAGGGGACCCACCCTCTCACCACTGGCACCTGCGAGGTCAGGGGGCCGTCTTCTATCAGGCTCCAGTTTGTCACAGGACTGTGCCCGACGTGTCCTCTTGGGCTTCAGGGGGGCTGTCCGGCGGCTTGGATCAGGGGGTCCTGAAATAGCCACAGGAAATCTGGCATATGAGGGAACTCACCGGCTGGGTTGTTCATCCAGGCTGTGACTCTGGCTGTCACTTATTTCATGCTTTGGAAGGGGACCTGATATGAAGAACCAGCAAGGTACCAGAGGTTCCCCCAGCCTCCCACTCAGCCAGTATGGTAGACCTTGAATGTCTGGCTCCTCTTGGTCTTGTGAACCCAGTCTCAGCCGGGGCTTATTGACTCCTGGGGCAACACTTCCGGCCTCAGCCTCCTCCCTGCTTCCTGGCATCTGGGGGGGTTTCCGACCCCTGGGTACAGCTACTGGCTTGGGGGGTCGTGGAACTAAAGGGGGGTCCTGCAGCTGGCATAGGAAGGAAGATGCCTGGTCAGTTATTCTCTTTGCTCTTCAAAGCATACCCTCCCCCACCTTATTGCCTTCACCTTGGCATTTCTAGCTGGAACTGTCCTCTCTGGGAATAAGGCCCTTTCCTTTTCCTCCTCTCCATCTTGGGAGGCTGGGCTAGGGCTCTGGCAGCTGTGGTTGGGGGCACTCTCTTCAGCTAGGGGACAGGAGACAAGAGAAGCTACAGGAAAAGGCATTATGGCAGAACCCTTCCCTGATACTCCTCCCATGAGTCTCCGCAGGCCAGGACTCCCCCCCATTCCAGTCCATTTGCTCCAACAACTACCTTCCATGTCCCCTCTATTCCTGAGTTCATGGGATCACCCGAAGGTTGTCCCTTCTGTCCTATTGCCCCTCCTGCAGAGCAGGCCTTTTCCTATTGGGGAAGAGCCAGGATGTGGGGTCTTCTGGGTCCATGGGCATTGCTACTCATCCAGGGCTGCAGTGTCCCAGGGCTTTGCCAAGGCTGCAGCCTGGCATTGCCAGCACTATCTGCAAGTCTTATTAGACAATGGAAGTCTCAAGGAGAGGTGCCCTGGAATGCTTGTTCCCCAGCCCTGTGGCTGTAAGCAACATGGGCAGAAGGGCAGAACAGCTGGAAAGATGTCTCTATCCATATCTTTGGGTGTGCAGTGGAGCACCTGACTATTCAAGTTTCATAAGTGAAGGATGAAGCCAGTGTTTGGATGCTTTGTCTAGTCTATGGGAGGGATGGAAAATCAGCAAAGATTCCCCCTGCCCTGTCCCCCGCACTGTGCTAGGCTGGCCTTGGAGGATGGGGTAGGCACTATTATGAACTAATACGCTTCAATATGCCTCAAGTCAGCTGACTCTACAGTGGGAAGGAGAGAGAGATGCAAAAAGCTGGGTGGAGCAGGACAGGACAATGAGGAGTAGATGATCCAAGCCAGACCTGCCTGCTCATCTTGTAGCTCCTCCTAGTCCTGTCTTTTGGTCTAGGTGTGTGTGTGTGTGTGTGTGAGTGTGTGTGTGTGTGTGTGTGTGTGTATTTTGCAGAGAGATTTTTATCCATGTCAGAACCTGTTGGGAGTCATATTCCAGGCCTTTGGGAACTTAAATGGACTAGCTTTTCTATAGTAGCTTAATTAGAAGGTGCGCTAAGCCCATCAGGAGGGCAGTTCCATACCTGGAATAATTCTCCTCCTTTTTCCCCCTCTAGTCATGAAACGAGAAAGTGACCTGTTTAAGATTCTAGGTTGCTACGCAGGATTAATACTCAGGCCTCTGCTTCTCCTTTGGGGCACCTTTCTGTTTGCAAAAGGCTGGGAAGTTTGAAGTGGACTTGACATTTCTGGCACTTGCTGGCAGCTGGGATTGCCTAACCTCTTTTGAGCTGGGGTGCAGAATTAGGCTTTCCCCACAGAGTGAAGGCCTAAATCTCCACTGGGCTGATAGTGACCAAAGGTGACATCTGTCTTAGGCAATTCACCAGAACCAATCATAAAACATTGTTCCTGCTTGCTAACTCTAGTAAGGCCATTTTTGCCCTGCAGAACTTCTCTTTGGATAGGTAGCTTAGTAAATATCCTTAAACATTTTCATCATGTTAGCTTCTCACTACCCCATCTTGGCTGTAAATTCTCCAAGGGAACACGGGTATACCTGAACCTTCAACACTGCTGCCCAAGAAGAGGCTTTCCATACCTATGTGCCATGTGGCCTCTGCTCGGCGCATGGCGCTGAAGCTTGGCTTGGTGCTTTGGGGTGGTGGAGGGGGCTTCCAGGCTCCAGGCCCTGGAGTAGAGGAAGGAGATGTGAAAATGGAAGGGAAAAAGGGAAAGGTAAATTAGGAGAGATTCATGAGAGAGGGGCTAAGGGATCATTCTCACCTGCATCATCTGAAGAGCGCCGTTTCTGCCAAGCCTGGGTGCTGTCCTCCAGGTCTGGGCCTGTGCCCTGAAAGGATGGCTGTCAGATCATGAGAAAAGTCCCCTCCATGGGGTTCTGCATCTGACAAGGGCTTTTTATTTAGCATTTTGTGTCATTGGCATGTTATTAGTTCCTAAATACTAGGACCCTGTTTTCCAAAGAGTGGCATCTATACCACTCCAGGGGCATAAGAAATGGCTTACATAAGTGAACATACTGCTATCCGTATATCCATCCATCCATCCATATACATACATACATATGGTGCCA